AATACAAATTGATGTTTGTAAACACTTGAGCTAGGCTTGTCTTTTATTGTGGTATGATTCTTATTCTTTTGCCTCTGAAGAATGGATGCCCAGGTGCCCCTCAGTTGGAATAATTGAATAAGTCATGATATATGAATGTGTTAACTACTCTCATTCCATAAAAAATGATGAAAAGTTCAATTTTCAGAGAAATTGGAAAGTCAAGTGAACTGACGCAGAGTGAAGTAAGCAGAACCAGGAGACCTATTTGTGCATCAGCAACAATGTTGTGAAAACAAACAACTTTGAAAGACAGAAAAACTCTGATCAGTGCAATGACCAACCACAATTCCAATGGATTCTTGATGAAACTTGCCATTCAACTACTGATCTAGACATGCTGGATACAGGGCAGATTGAGGCATAAATTATAAATTATTTGGACATGACCATCTCAGGCTTTTTTTAATTACACATATTTGTAATGAGGGCTTTGTTATTCTTTTTCAGTGGAGGAGTAGGAAACAGAAGGCAGATTTTTGTGATTAATTGAAAAAAGAAAATTTAATTTAATGTTAGTTTAAAAAAAGGAATAGATATTCAGTTTGTCTTAGGTAGCTTTTAATATCAAAATTCAAAGCTATACATGTGCATCTTTGAAGTTCTCAATTGGATCTTCCCACTTTGAGGATCATAGAGTTTTTCCTTGTCGATATATAACATTTGAAATGAATACAGGAGAGCCATCGAAGAATCAGAAGCCTGGAAAATATAGCAACCTTCCATTAATGTTTAAAATTGACCATCCTCCAGATGTGTTTACCAAACCATTCCATTCCTTTCCTTTCCTCAATCCTCACCAACCTTCCCTCAGTATAGGCATTAAAATCTTTACTACGTATATTTCAGAATTGTTATACATCCAGTGAAAGGCTGGATGGGGTAATAGATAATAGTTCATTTTCTAGATTGTACAGTACCTAATTTATCCTAGGATTCTTAGTCATTGTTTCATTAATTCAGAAAGCATTTATTACACACATACTATGCACAATGATTGTTGTTTTTTGTTTTTTTTTATTGTTTTGTTTTTCGAGGCAATTGGGGTTAAGTGACTTGCCCAGGGTCACACAGATAGTAAGTAAGTGTCAAGTGTCTGGTCTGACACTATATTTGAACTCAGGTCCTCTTGACTCCTGGGCCGGTGCTCTATCCACTGCGCCATTTAGCTGTCCCCCACAACGATTGTTTAGACCAGCAGGAAGATCTCTAGCCTGTTGGGGGTTGTTCTTCTTTGGAAGATTTATGAGAGCTCATGACTTCACAGGATGTGAAGCTCAGAGGGATAATAGGTCCTCAGATTCAAAAGCTAAGAGCTGCAAAGGACTTTGGAAGCCATCCTGGCACACTCACAAGCACTCGGAGGACTCCTAACAGCACACCACGACTCAGAAGTGGAAGTACTGATTCATGAATCTCAGAGGAACGTGGTTAAAATTTTTCCTGTTCAAGCTGCCTGTGTGGCTTCAGCAAGTCACTTAACCTTGCTAGGCCTTAGTTTCATCTGTAAAAATGTGGAAGTTAGACTAGATGACCTCTGAGGTACCTTTCACCTCTCAGTCTATTCTCCTGTGAACTTTACTACAAATTAGGCTAAGCGTGTTTAGGAGAAGTGCTCAGAGATTGCATGGCATCGTGAATAAAAAGCTAACTTTGGAACCAGGAAGACAGGTTCAGGTCCTGCCTTTGGCACGTTGGAGGTGATTCTGGGCAAGTCACTTCACATTCAGTGCTCTAGGAAACTAAAACTATAGATAGAAAAGGTGCCGCATCGATAGGAGTTTCCTCACCCAGGATTTCCCTATATCAATGAAATCACAGGTCTGGTTCCTATCCCTATACTAAGAGGAGTACAGACCAAATGCTATGAATTCAAATGAGGAAACTATTTCCTCCTTTGTAAAATAATCAGGTTAGACATAGTGATGTCTAAATTTATTTCAAATCTAATATCCATTTATTTTTAGCTATTTATCTGCAAGAGTTATCAGGAAAGGCTTCCTGGGGGAATTGGCATTTTAACAGGGCCTTGAACAGTTTCATGTAGTGGAAACGGGGGATAGGGGTGCATTTCAGATATAAGAAATTGAAAATAGTCCAGTTTATTGTTTTTACTGTGTGCATATCAGTTTGACAGATTTATTGAGAGGCAGCTATTTTCTCTACACTGTGTAATGTAGTGGCATGGGAGAGATGGGGACAGAATTTTTTTAAAAAATGAGGTCTGTGGTCTCAAGGAGTTTAAATTCTAACAATACAGGTGTATAGTGTTTTTATCTTTGACTTATAAAGTGCTTTTATATGGTCTTATCTTATGATCCTTATAAGAATTATATGAAGGATACAGAACAGACTTTTACAGATGAGGAAACTGAGATTCATCAAGTGGAAGTCATTTTCTGAAAATCACTCTGCTAATGATTAGCAGAGACTAAGATCAGAAACTAATTTTCCTGCCTGGTAATTGAGTGCTTTTTTCCCAAGTATATCACACTAGATCATTTTATCCTCTCTTGATAGTATAGCCTAGCTATCAACTCATAATTCTTCTGTAATTTAAAAGGACTTAATGAGTTCTAAGGCCAATTGGATAACACAGTGGGTAGAGAGCCAGGAGTCTTTCTGGAGTCAGAAAGACTCATCTTCCTGAGTTCAAACCTGGCCCCACACATTTACTAGCTGTGACCCTGGGCAAGTCACTTAACTCTGTTTGCCTCAGTTTCCTCATCTGTAAAAGGAGCTGGAGAAGGAAATGACAGACCACTTAAGAATCCTTGTCAAGGAAATTCAACTGAACAGGATAGTTCTGGCTTGCTTATAAAATGTATTTATAAGTTTGGGCAAACTTATAGATGAAAAGAAGTAATTCTTTTGTAAATGTTTTATTTATGACTTTGCTTTTACATAACGTTCATTTCTGAATATACACTTCGACTTCCCCTACCAGCAAACATTCTCTTGTAACAGATTTTTTCTTTTTTTTTAAATTAATTTCTTTTGAATTATCAACAATCACTTCCATAAGCTTTTGAGTTTTAAATTTTTCTCCCCCTCCCTCCCTATCTCCCTTCCCAAGATGGCACGCAGTCTGATATAGGATATTCATATACATTCTTATTAAACATATTTTCACATTAGTGATGTTGTAAGGAAGAATTAGAACCAATAGGAGGAACCACCAGAAAGAGGAAACAAAACACAACAGAAGAAAAAAAAATAGCAAATAGTATGCTGCAATCTGCATTCAAATTCCGTAGTTCTTTCTTCTTTGTGGATAGCATTTTCCATCATGAGGCCTTTGGAGATGTCTTAGATCCTGTAACAAAGATTTTTTAAAAGTTTAGAAATAACATGTAATACATTAGTGCTGTCATACAGCATGTGCTGTATTCTACAGCCATAGACTTCTGACAAAAAAAGGGAAGTTCAGTTTCTCGTTTCTTTTTTGGAGCCGATGTTGGCCATTAGGCAGAATTCACTCTTTTGTATTGTTCTTTTCATTTCTTCTGCCACGGTTCTTTTGCATAATGTTTTGCTGATTCTATTTACTTTATTCTAAGTGGATTCATAGAAGTACAGTAACACTCATAACACAATAATTTTAATAATATTTTTAAAGGTTAAAATAAGTTTTAAGAATGAGAAAGCAAAGGGCACTGAGTTTTTTGATTACATTTTCCATTGAAAAATCTATTTGATTTTTTTTTTTTAGGTTGCTTTTCGAAGAACAATGGAAGAATGTAAAATGTCAGCATTTCACCCTTGAGGGTGCTTTGAGTCATTTATTTTGAATGATTTATAAGCTTCTTTTTTAATAAATTTAAAGCTTTAATGTGAAATAACAGATAATGAATATTTTTGAAGTGTACAGTAATGAAAATATTATAAGGTATTTTTGTGGATTTGAAGAAATGACTTAAGTGTTTCTGTTGTATTCATAAGAATAAGTAAACTTTTAGTAGATAAAAACATTCTTGTTATTTTTAGAAGATTGACATTTGAGCTTTTTGGATATGGTAATGTTTTATTTCCCTGCTTCCATATCTGTGACATGGATAAGCCAAATAAGTCGTTAGGAAATGAGTAGTCATTTAAATAGATTTGTTTAATACTTACTAAGTTACCCTCATGATTCAAAATTGATAGTGTAGTTCTTTGATGGAACATTCCAGATACCATCAATTTGTATTAATTGGGTAAACAAGAACATTAACTTTTTTTTTCTTAAGGATTAGTATTTGGTTCTCTTTTTCTTTTTTAAACTCCTAAATGAGAACTTTGAATGTAAATCTAATGTTTCTGATCATCCTGCAAGAAAATTTAATTAAAGCTCTTAGAAATTAGGGTGTCATATAGACATATATTGTGTATTCTCAACATAATTGTAACGGAAACATGAATAGTATTCCCTCTCCAACACTTCTCAGCTTCTTTCTTAATTCTATAGTGAAGTCCTCATCGTGACTGCCATAGAGATATGGTTGAAATTGATACAGTATTACCCAGTAAAGGATTAAGGAGCTCTCAGGCCTTTGAACGTGTGTTGTTGATAGTAAAAGAGCGTAATGATGATCATGTTGTACCTTTTATTAAATTACCCGTAACAGTGTAAATTTTTTATCTTCTGGTTTCCTGTTAAGAGATGGAAAAGGCATAGTCTTCAGTTTTACTGGGAAAAACGCGTGAGCTGTATAGAAAGATTGACTTATCCTAAAGCTCATAGAAGAAGTAGTCACTATGCTAGGAGTAGAACTAAATTGATAGACATCTGTGACAATGTAACCTCCCAAAGTAGGTTGTCATGTTGAGAAAAAGTTAGGTCACTCTTCAGGTAGGTGCTTAGAAATATTGCCTTGTATAAACACTGATTTTTCCCCCTTCTTAAGGACCACTCTTTCATACTCTGGTACCTTAGTTGCTTGTTTCAGTGATTTATGTGAGGATTTTCTTCCTTTTCTTAGGTCCAGCACAGAATCAGATGCAGTTTCCACCTGGATATGGATTACAGTCTCAAGGCTATGTTGTTCCCTCAGGACTCTACTCCCAAGGACCTGGGAAAAGTACCCCTCTGCCATTGGAAAGCCAGTATGGTACTGATTATCATTCTGGCCACTACACAGTACCAACACAAAATGTGACTCTTGCTCCAGGTCCTAGCACAGTGAACATGCAGCCGGGATCACAGCAGGTATATGGCCGGGGTCCTCCTGCTCCTCATACTGTAGGGTCCACTCCTGGATCATTCCCAGGTGGTGTTGCATCTTCAGCATCCCATTTACACACAGGTAGACCCCAGCCATACTCCTCCTTTGGTAATCACTACAACAGTCCAGGCATTCCCTCTGCCAGTTCTTCCATTGCTTCTCAGGGATTTCCCCTTACTTCTGGCCATTATGCTATGTCTACTGCTTCGGGTGCTGTGTACCCTAGTGTTTCATATCCTTCGGTGCCTGCTGGTGATCCATATGGGCAAGTGTTTACTTCACAGAGTACTTCAGTCATCACACAGTTTAAAGATAATTCATTTCCTGGTCAAAACACAGCCGTCGACCATCCACCGCAGCAGCGACTGAGTCCTGTGGGATATAGTGCTTCATCATGGGCAGCTCCAGGCCCTCAGTCAACCCAAGACAACCTTACCCAAAATCACATTGGATCCCTGGCTACAGCAGGCAACACCTCTAATGCAGGTATGTCACTAAACTGAAATCTAGAAAAGCTTATAGTTGAAGTTCACTTTTTTCTATAGTGGATCGTTATCTTTCTGAAGGTTAAAAATGTGTTGTCTTATGGAGAAGTTGGAAATGTAGTTCACCTTTTAATTTGCACACATAGTTGCCCAACTATCTGATTTTGTTCTAGTTCAGTCCCTTGCATATAGTGGAGACCCCATGATATTTGTGTCTTGATGTGCAACATATGACTGGAATCCACCAAATCCTAAAGTTGTGGTGCTTAATTGGTGAGGTCCAGGAAAGATGATCCTCTCTGAAGTTATGCTTCAGCCAATTAATTAAACATTCACTTAGTAGCCATAATATACAAGTACTCTAGTGGATGCTGAGGAAGAGATGAATCAGAGGCTCTTGTTGCCTTGAAGAAGGAATGTGGTGTTTAATTTAGCAGATTAGCTAGGTAGACACCCAGACAATTCTGTTATTGTCATTTCCTACTGTACAGATCAGGGAGGGTGGCATGGGTAGAAGTACACTTGAAACAGAGCTTGAAGAAAGGGTTTCACATTTGAGATGGGCTGCTCTAGTTGCCTTCGTCAGAGGCACAGTCACTCGGTAGGTTATGTTATTGGGAGTGAAGTTGGAGAGAATGTGGAGGTTAAAAAAAAAAAAAAGGTAGGCTAGAGTGCCAGGCCATTAGGAATTTGAATTTTATTTGGTAAGAGAGAGTCATTAAAAAGTTTTTTAGCAGAAGAATGACATGATCAGATCTACTTGTGGAGATGGTGGGACTTTCACATAGCTCAGGAGAGGTTAGGGCTAGAAATTTAAATTTGAAGTTATCTACTTACAGGTATAATAGTTGAAATTGTAGGAATAGGTGAGTTTGCCAAGAAAAAAAGTGGATCGAAAGCCATGGAGTAGACCTACATTAAGAGGGAAGGAGAAGTGAGAGGAGCCAGAAAAGGATTGTGTAGGGCGTTAAAAAGAAAACCAGGAAACATGATGGCAAGGAAACCAAGAGAGGAGAGAATATCAAGAAAGTTGAATATTGTCAGTAAAATTGGACACTGCAGAGACAAAATGAAAACCAACTTCTCTGGCCAGACCATGCAGCTTTATAGGAGCGATTATTTTCCAGCTATAGTGAACCAGGGTGCCCTTTGACTTACTGCAGCAAAGGTTGGTGAACTGCCTGCCACAACAGGCTATTCCCAGGATTTTCATCCTATTCCCTCAGGTTGGTAAAGTCGGAAATGAAAAGGAAGAATAATTTGGAACTTGCCAGGCTGTTAGCTAACCGGCATTTGCTTTTCTTTCCCTGCTCCTAAATGTTTGGTGTTTGCTTTTGTCTCTTGTAGGACAAAGTATAATTAAATCAATGAGATTAAGAATCTTTTGCCTTTATTATTGTTGTATTTGTAGTTGACTGTACCGTTTTCATTGTTTGCAAACTTGGATCTGCAGAGACTGCCTTGAACTCAGATTGAAAATTTATGCAGATATGATTGGGAATTAATAAAGTAACATCTCTAGAGAATATTGTAAAGATTGGATGATAGTATGCCAGCAGTGTTGTCAGAGGAATTGGGTGAGAGCTTTGCCTAAGATTCTTTCAACTATGAGCGTGTGTGATGCTATGGTATATAGGAGAAGAAGAAAGTAGTTCTTCCCCCTTTTCTCTCTAGTGTAGGAGTAAAAGTGGTTGAGTGGAAACTGAATTGTCCTAGGTTCTGAAATTAGTGAGTAGTAAGGGGATGTTTATACACTGAAAAAGTGGTAGACAGTTTATTGATATTGATTTTTCATGGGAGCAAGGAAAGATTATTAGAAAACGTATTCTATTGGCACAGGTTAGCGTGTATTCCTTTTGTAAATGTGACATTGCACAATACTAGCAATGTCAAAAGTACCATCAGTTAGGAAGTTGATCCAATGTAATTTAGCACACAATAGAGTGAGCTATAGGAAAATATTGGGAACACCGATCTATTGTGAAGGGATGGAAGGCTATACTTTTACTTATCACTTTTTGGACTAGTAAATTGCTTTTGCCCAAATCAGAATTAATAAAATTTCAGAACCAAAATAAGTCTTAGGAATGTTTGGTTATGAATCACTAAGCCAATTTGTAGGTCACTTTTCAGACTTACCCACTACCACCAGGGAAAAAAAAAAGGATTAAATTTGAACACTTGAATTTAAAGTATTAGTAAGTTTTAATTTTCCTAGCATACCTCCTTTTATAGGATTTAATGTGGCTCTCATTTCTGTGTTAAGAGATTGAAGGTATAAACTACCTATTATAAGTATGCATATTTAATTTTTGCTGTAAACAACTTAACCTTTGAGTAATTTTGACATGGTTATCAATTGTGACGTTGAATATTTTTTCTACTCAATTACTGATTTTCTCATTTCACTGTTAGAAATGTTTAAAAATGCTTTAGTGATAATTTTGCATATTTATTAGCCTACAGTTTAGCAAATATTAATGGGGAAAAGAATGAGTATAATAATTATAACTCAGGCAGTTAATGAAATGATCACATTGGAGGCAGAGAATAAGAAAAAGACCATGACACTTAATCTGCCTTTATGGTTTGGGAAAGTGCATCAGTGTGTTAAGATTCAGGACTGCTAGTTACTCTAGTGTTAGGTTTAATGGAGTGTGGTATATACTTGTTGTTTACTTAACACCATGGCTACTTCATTTTGCTGTAGTTCTTAGGATGGATTATAACTAGTTTTCAACCACACCCTTTAATCAGCCCATATGGGTCACACATACCAAAAAGAAGTCTACACGTCTACACATCATTATAGCCATAGAAGGATTTACCTGGGAGAAAGGGAGCATATTCTTTTTTAACAATGTCGAGGAATTGGAGATACCAGGCACCAATAATGTGAATACTAGCTTATATTTTCATAGTACTTAATGGTTACAAAATACTATATATTCAGTCACATTTGATCCTCACAGTAATCTTGTGAAGTTGGTATGTGTAAGTGTCATTTTCTCCCTTTCACAGATGAAAAAAACAAGTCTTGAAAGGGACTTGCCAAAGTCATGTAGCAAAAAAGGCACCATGAGACAGAACTAGAATCCAATCAAACCTTTCTTTTACCCTTCCATTAGATGGGTTTTAACTTAGCATACTAACCTAAGATGGGGAGCCAACTAATGAAAGTTCAGTACATTACAAGCTAGGATGAAACTGTGGAGGACAGAAGTAAACAAAGTATTCATATTTTTAAAAAATGATTAAAAGAAATTTAATGTTTATGACAAAATGTGGATAGATATTAAAATCAAAATAAAGACGTGATCATTAGGACACTGGCCATAATCAAATATTTTCTTTTTTATAATAAAAAAAATTGATAATTGATAATCAAGTATATGCAGATCATATATTGCTATAGTACTAAATTACCAAGAGATGATCTGAATGCTTCTTTTTTTTAACCTTAAAGTGACCAAGTAATTAATAAAACTAATTTGTTTTTTCTAATCCTAAACTCATAGTTACTAAGACCTACAATTTTCTAATGACAACTGCTGGGCAAAAATGCATATTCAAACGAGCAGAAACATAAGAATTTGGTGCCATTCATTAGTCTTGATTTCATTGTTAAGGATACATTCTGTAAATTTATGAAGTTCTTTATAATTATTAATGTAAGCTATTAATCAGCAATTATAGCTTTGTGTTTTTACTAATTTTTCATTCAGCCAGAGTTGTTTAAATTATATAATGTTCTTGTTTGGGGAAAAGTACAAGGCAGCTCAGCATTGTTCTATTCTAGGCCACCCAAGAGTGACAAGTTTTGTCAAGGTTAAGCTAGTGGAATGGGTTGACTTTGGGAGATGTCTTGGTAAGTTTTATTCTATGCTTGATTGCTGTGTCTCAAATTACATAAGTAAGTATATAATCTCACCTTTCCAGCAACAGAGAAAATGAACTGATTGTGAGAGTAAAGCTAAAGTGGGTTTAAAATAAGTAAATGTTTTAAAGGAATCAAACCATTCTCTTGTTAAGGAAAATACAGTATAAGTATTTTGCTTTACTACATTTGCAGAATAGATCGAATATACTCATTACTACATAAAAAATGACTCAGTATTCTCCTGAGCTACTTATTTATTTGCCTGCTCATTGATTTCTCTGTCTGTTTGTCTGTTGGAGGCTGGATCTCTCTATCTTGCCCGGGCTGGAAGTATAGCAGTCATTCCAGGGCTGATCTCACTGCTATTTGACATGGGAACTTTGACCTGCTCTATTTCTTATCTGGGCTGGTTCCTTCCTCCTTAGGCAGCCTGGTAACCATCTCCTCTGTTCTCAGGGGCTTACCAGACTTAGTGTGGACTCCCAATCAACTTGAGCACAGAATTCCCAAGTTCAAGTAGTCTGCCAGCTCTGGGTGACTCCCTAGTAGCAAGGAATTAAAGGCGTGGACCACCCAATATGGCTGTGTGTGTGTGTGTGTGGCAGTCAGGGTTAAGTGACTTGCCCAGGGTTACACAGCTAGTAAGTTTCAAGTGTCTGAGGCTGGATTTGAACTCAGATCCTCCTGACTCCAAGGCTGAAACTCTATCTACTGCGCCACCTAGCTGTCCTCCCAATATGGCTTTTCAAAGAAAGTATGAATGCTAACAGCCTTTCAAAGTGATCAGCTAACATCTGGAATGAATTGATGCCCTAACTTGATTACATTTCCATTTAATCTTGTTGTCCTCCCAAGAGATCTCAGTTCTAAAGTCTCAACATTTACCTGGGAGAGTTCATCTCCTCTCTTGGTTTCTGCCATCATTTATAGACTATTAAATCCTTTGCATGTAGTAGATACTTAATAAGTTAATCTGGATCTTTAGCCTTTGCTTGCTCCAGGCCCACATTTCTACTTCCATATCACGACCTCAGAGTCAGCATGTCAGAACTACTCTTCATCGCCCCAACCAGTCTTCCTTTTCAGGAGTCATTCATTCAGTAGCATTTCACACCAATTTT